ACGAAATGCGCATCCCGGACCCTATTGTTTGCCATCAACTAGACCATAATCGATTGGATGTTTCTTTTGTAAAAGTTAACATCCTTTGAAATCACTTGTATTCTACTACTACTTACCCGGTATACCCTTTGAAAAGATACGGCCTAAACATAAACTATATTTCAAGTTGCTGGGCATCGAATTATAAGTTCTTTGTATGTTGGTCCCTGACCTGAGCTGATATGTGACTAGAATGATCTTGTTGCACAGATTAACGTTCGAATGTATCAATCTTAATGAACTACTTAATCTTTAGTGTTATTGCTTGTATTGCTTGCACTATAAACCTATACCCGTCGCATGAGAAGTGGCTATCGTGGCTTGGTGGTGTAGTGGATTACGCTCTCGCATTTGAAGCGATCGCTCCCAAGTCTGAGTCCCGGTGGGAACAACATCACTCACTGCGAGGGCAGGTACATCCAGCTGACCAGCGGGTCCCAAATAGGACGAAGTGCGCATCCTGGGTTCCACTGCGCATCATTACTATACTTAATCTTTACCTACGTGAACATATTATCTTTAGATTGACTAGTTTTTCCTCATAAAAATGTTCCTAGTATTCACATACCTGATTTGATCTTCTCTTCTATTTCTTGTTCAGTGAATTATAATTTACAATAAGGGACGCTCACTAGTTACTTGTCTTTTAAATCTATAGTATATTTAATGGTGTAACAAAAGGTTTTTATTGGTCAAACAGCCTTATAACTTGACTGACCAATGACTATTCACAAACGCCTACCTATCTACTCAAGGTCAGCACTATACTGATGTTAGAAGGCATAATAACTGACCAATCAATAGTTGCCTTCATTACGAAATAAAATGTGTGGTTATATATACTGTTATTTTAAAAATCAATAACAATGGTAGATGGTCATTAACTAACCAATCACTTTTACTTGCTACAGTGTGAAACACTTTTGACCACTCTGTCATATGCATGATTGTGATAAAAATTGACAGACTACTGAAATAGACTTTTTTATGCTGCATATCTTGATTTATGCTACTATGTAGACAGGATAATCTAAATGAACAATCCATCGTTTTCCCATTGCATAAAATTTCTCTCCACATGAGGAAACTTTTTGCATAGTGAAATGACTTTTATTCATTGATATGAATGAAGATTAGAAAGGTTAAGGGGGAAAAACAATCTTGAGGTAGTATTTATCATGGACAGACATCAGTTGGAGAACCGTCAGAAATATGGGAGCACTGGACAGCTGTTTCATCCTGTTACGAGACTTCTGAGCAGCACACACTCACGATCCCATCGTAGATTGAACCGAACGCCTTAGGGCGTTATGGAGAACGCGTCGCCGTTGAGCCATTTTTCTACTTCTATCAGTTCACGGTTCAGTGTGACCTTCAACCAATGACATCGTTAAACATTTGTCCCTACATGCAACTTTGCTTTCCCTAGTGGTCACTAGTTCCCATCAGAGCTTCAGGCAATCTCACCTCGAAACACATCATTAATTAGCATTCCATACTGATTCACTTTGGAGATTTATTGTTTTCAAGGTGAATGACATCCGTGGCCTACTGGTACCGTCCCGGGTTCGATCTCTAGGAAGGACTACAATGCTGAGACGAAACCGGCATCCATTACTACCAGTTTTGCAATGCTCTTCGAACTAATGTCAATACCTGACGAATACAACCTTCAGATCAATAATTTCCCATGAACCTCGAACTAATTATATATGTATTACAACTACACTTATTGGATGAAGAAGTTTGCAGGGAGAGAGGGACATTGTGAGACAGTTGATACCTTGATTTATGAAGTTTTTTGTTGCTCACCTCATTACAAATAAAAACGATTGTAAGTACTGTACTAAATGATTTCTTTAAAACAATTAGTTCCCTTTATATACTTCGACAAAATAATAAGAAGACGTAAATTGTCTGAACCGTGTAATGTATTTGCGCAACACATTTCGAACTATCTGATCACACACGTACTTGTCATAGGTATTTATATAAAAAAACTCATGAAGATAAGGGATGAGAAAATAAAAAGGAGTCAGGTAGTAAGGTGCTTATTCAGCAGAATTCAACAAATATGCACCGAGGATACTTCAGAAGATGAAAGAGGAACACTGACCGATATTTTGTTGGAAAATAACTATCCGTCAACATTTATCAGGCAGAACAAAATTACCAGAGCACCAAAACTAGAACTTCAGTCAGTCCCAAAGAAGGATGTCTTCATCAGGTGACTCTCAGAGTGCAATCCTTAAACAGAGACTTAACGCTACTGTTAGAAGGACTTACTATGCAGCCAGGGTTCGGATAATCGAAACCACGAAGCCCGTATATTTCCCCAAACCCCCACAGCATGTGAACGATAATGTCACATCCCATTGTATCTACCAGTTCAAATGTACGTGTGGTGACACATACATAGGGAGGACTAATAGATCCATGCAAGAAAGGGCCTCGGAACATATTCCAAACTGGCTTCAGAAGCAAATTAAATCACCTGAACCTATAAATGTTGGTAGCAGACGTCCAAGTTTTTCGATCGCCAAACATATCGTTGAGACAGGTCACAAGATTGATATGGCTACTTCCTTTACACCTATTTACAAAACATGTTGGGGAGGGATCCTGAAATTTGTTGAAGCCTTAGCTATTAGGAAGTTGGAACCATCTTTATGTGTTCATAAACAATTTGTTGTCACATTAAGTTTTCCTTGGTAAATTCAACTATTGAAAACCAAGTTCGATGTACTATTACTTTTTCGCTTTATTGATTTTCATTGTTATTCGGCCTTTAAGTCAGCCTTCCTACCGGACCCCCTTTTTATTTTCTCACCCCTTATCTTCATGAGTTTTTTTATAATAAATACCTATGACAAGTACGTGTGTGATCAGATAGTTCGAAATGTGTTACGCAAATACACCATTACACGGTTCAGACAATCTACGTCTTCTTATTGTTTTGTCGAAATTTCTTGTTCTCCTCAGAAGTTTGTCTTTTATTTTTTTTTTAACTACTCATGAGTAGTTAAAACGAGCCTGCAAAACATTTGGAGGAACCACTAATTTGAGTACCTAACATATATACGCATTTATAGTCGGATATGTGACACTATATATTTGATTGACACAGATTGATCCAGTTCATTGAACTTTTACTGTTCTAATTGTGCAACTGAAGCTGAACAGGCTCCTGGTAGGAGAGACCTGACAACATCATATCAAAACACATGAAACAAATGAGAGATAGTGAAGGAAACTTAATAAAGAGAAAAAACAAAGGAAACAATAACTTGACCATCTCAAAAAACTCGTGAATCAACCACCACCTGCAACTCGTCCAGAAATACCACCAACAGCCTAACCACAGGACTATCAGTGAACAAAAAGACTCCGACAAAAGTAGAAGTGAAGTCCCGAACATCATAAATATTTTGGCTAAGAAGAGTCAATGTGTGTTAACTGACAATAGGAAATTATAAGTAAGTACCGTTAATATGATGACGCTACATGCCAAGACATTCACAACACAATAGAAACATCAGTGATGATACCTTCCAAGTGAAGACAGGAAGGAGTAAGACAAGGTTCTCTCCACCTAATATCCCCAATCATACTCCTCATATGCTTGTCGTCGACTGGACTCGACTCGACCAAGCAACAAACTGTGATCGGCTGCGACAACATGCTCATACACTGGATGGACAGATGAAAAGACCCCAGAAGAACATTTACATTTCACCACCCATGATGATCATTTATATCGAATGTGTTATGTCACACAAATTGGAAGATGTACAGGTGAAAACTAACAAGTTGGCAGAAGAGACGAGGCAGTGAAGGAAGACGGGATTTCGTTCAGGTGAACGTGGAGAAGACAGAGGTGGTGAAGATACCCAGCCAATCAACCAACAACAACAACAAGAACCACAATCACAGGCACCAATCACCATCAACGGGAGAAATGTGAAGAAAGTAGTCACTCACCTTCACCTACCCACATACCTAAGCAGCATCATCTCAACTACAGGTGGTGACCACGGTGGTCGCACAGATGACGATGATGATGTGAAAGCAGTGAGGATGACAAAGACTGCAAAACATACCTTCCTTCATTCATCTGTGGAGATCAGTGTGCAGATGTACAACACTGCATCACGCTCCACTCCACTCCACTCAGCATAAAGCATCAACAAGATGCACATTTTCAACACCAATGTCAGTCAAGTAAGTCAGTGGTTGTATGTGATGCTTGACAGACTTGGCGTCTTATCAAAATCATTTCGAACAAACTGCACACATACATGATGAACAGCAGATGTCGACTACACTCACTGGATAGTGAAGATGACATGGATGACCAGAATAATAAAAATAAATAAGAAAGAAGAGAATGAGTGTGGCGTGGTAAGGAAACAAGCCACTAGGAGGCTGTCACCCAACAGATATGGAGGAGAAGAAAGTGGAGATTGATTGGGTGTACACTGAGAAAACCATTCGGAGGCATCATATATCAGGTTGTCGAGTGGAATAGAAAGAGGAGAGGACGAGTTGGTCATCTCATTGGAGGGTGACATGGAGGAGATTGTGTGAAGAAGAAGAGATGAAGGGTAATGGACAGTGGTGGAGGCAGGTTGAAAAGACTTCATGTGAGAGAGTGAGTTAGTGACATGCTATTGAAGCCCTATATTCCACTAGTAACTCAAGGAATAAGTTATAATAAGTAACTAGTAATTTTTCCTTGGAAAATTTTGATTGGTCAATGCATAAATTTCCTGTCAAAATAATCAACCAATCAGATTACAGTGCGTTATAATATAATTCAACAAAATTATATATTTACCCGCAATACAGGGGGGTTTGTTTTATTTACTGTCGAATTTTCTTGATCCAGCAAAAATACACATATTCAATTTATTATGAATTGATTCAATAAAATTTTTATTCAATGTTCAATATGATGTTGAATGCACAAGAAAAATACAGTTGTTTATTCGTATACAATAACGAATAATAATAATAATAATAATCATATTATATTGAATGAATATAATACTACTGAAATGAATAAGGTAACCCAGAAAGATACTTCAAATATATCTCAACAATATACATCATATAATTTAAACAATATTAATCAATACTCAACTGATTCAAGTTATTTAAAGTGTTCAATGAATAATTCATTCAATCAATATAATAAAATAAATATGAAATATGAACAACCTTATCAATCAATAAAATATAATTTATTCAATAATTCAATTTTATCAATGAATCATTCAAAATATATTGATTTAAAAGAAAATAATATACAACCTGATTCAACTGTTATGACTACATTGATAGATAATAATAATAATAATAATAATAATAATAATAATAATAATAATAATAATAATAATAATAATAATGAGAATGTATTGTTTAGAGAAGAAAGAAAAAAGAAAAAAAGCAAAAGTAAGTAAACTTTGTTTTTTCATCCTATTATTATTGGTTTATGGTCAATAAAAATACATTGATATTTTTGATATTATCAACCCTTCATATTATTGATAAATAATGACTAATTATGAGGTTTTAGAATGTGCATTTCGTCTTATATAAGATTCATCAAGTGAATATTCATGGTTGTTATTGATTAATTTTACTGTCACCGGGACTCGAACCCAGTACCGATCCACTTTATCCACTATCAATCATTACTGTTAGATTAACTCCTTTTATGTTGTCTTCAAGAATTTATTGTGTGATTATTACATTCAGTTACTCATATAATATAAAGTTTGTGTAATGTGATGTAAGAGAAATGGAGAGAAATTTTATCAAATATACTAGCCTTGTTATACCTTGTTAACTGAATCCTGTTTATTATCTTGTCGGTTCGAATCCGGGATGATATGACTTAAGTATTTACTATGGACTGACACCACTTGAATAGTTATCGAAGAAACCATCTGTTTCGTCCTTATGTGGGACACTTCAGAAGTGCGCACACACACACGGTGCCACTAGGGGTCGAGCTTAGAAATCACGATGAAAAGAATAAATACATAACCAAGAGACCTCTGTATTACTAAACTATTTTTGCCGGTATACAGTGATAGTTGAAGGTTAAATGATAATCAGAAAAGTGAGCCGGCAGTGAACCTGTAGATCTGTGACTTATTGGCTTCGGCAGTTGAGTTTCAACTAATTGGTCACTGGTTCGAACAGGCCTCTCTACCTAGGGAGGTTTTGCTGGCAATCAGGTAGTATGATTAACCCTTACACATATATACATATATATATATATATATACATACAATTGGTGTGGTTCATTGTTTACTTTACATGCGTGTACTCAGTTCCTGAGAGTATTTCAATCTTAGTTCGACTGAACCAAACAAACGATTGACTCCGACAGGTATAGCAGTAATCAATACGATCCTGTCAATCTCGAAGTTACCTATATTTCAGTTCGGATGGAAAGTCTTGGCGGGTCACGTAGTGTGGTTAACGCAGACGGACAGTTACTTATGTGCCACATAATCACACAGCAGTCGGGAAGTGAAGATCGACTTGGACGACGTCTATTGGCACATATACGTTTCGCCTCATTTGCGACTCATCAGCCGGACGTACAAGTAAGTAATAATAATCACTGATGCCTCTAGCACAAGAGGTGGCTCTAGCGTCTCATTCACTAAGTAGGTAACATTTCAGGATTCGAAGCGATAGGTATTGAATTAGAATTACGGAGGTGCAGATACAAACAACTGATGACTGCCAAATAGGAGGAGATGCATATCATGGATTCCATTGCAAACAAACTACTACCCACCTTTGTATTTCATCTTTATCATCACTTCATCCTCAGCAGTGAACAACAAGCAACTAACATTCACTAGTCGATAATTGTAAGTGAATTTGTCACCTTAGATCCTAACCCAATGACTCAGTGGTTAACATGCTCACTGCGAATCCTTAAGCTCCTGGATACACACTGCTGAACAGTGCCTTACTACGACGAAACAGTGGTCTAGCACTCCAAGGTCAACACTGATTCTCTAAATGATACCAGTTCAACTGGACACAGTATAGTAAGTACAGATAAATTGAAATAACCCTCAGTTTCATTTTGATGTTAGTTACTTGGTGATGACAAGTACACATATGAGTAGGATATGAATATCGTCAGGTATGAAGATTTTTAACTGGATGTACTCGTTTCCACCCCACCACTCCCTCATCTGAATATGTGATATTATTCCCATTGAAACATGAAATCAATACTCGGTAGTTTGAACCCCTGTGCATTGTCCAACACGTGACTGAAGTGCAATGGGCAACATTTATCACCCGTTTATCTTTTTTCCTTGGGTTTCTAGTGGAACACAGGGTTTCAACAGCATGTCAACATTTCGTCTCTTATCTGCAGTCTTTTCAACCTGCCTCCACCACTGTCCATTACCCTTCATCTCTTCTTCTTCACACAATCTCCTCCATGTCACCCTCCAATGAGATGACCAACTCGTCCTCTCCTCTTTCTATTCCACTCGACAACCTGATATATGATGCCTCCGAATGGTTTTCTCAGTGTACACCCAATCAATCTCCACTTTCTTCTCCTCCATATCTGTTGGGTGACAGCCTCCTAGTGGCTTGTTTCCTTACCACGCCACACTCATTCTCTTCTTTCTTATTTATTTTTATTATTCTGGTCATCCATGTCATCTTCACTATCCAGTGAGTGTAGTCGACATCTGCTGTTCATCATGTATGTGTGCAGTTTGTTCGAAATGATTTTGATAAGACGCCAAGTCTGTCAAGCATCACATACAACCACTGACTTACTTGACTGACATTGGTGTTGAAAATGTGCATCTTGTTGATGCTTTATGCTGAGTGGAGTGGAGTGGAGCGTGATGCAGTGTTGTACATCTGCACACTGATCTCCACAGATGAATGAAGGAAGGTATGTTTTGCAGTCTTTGTCATCCTCACTGCTTTCACATCATCATCGTCATCTGTGCGACCACCGTGGTCACCACCTGTAGTTGAGATGATGCTGCTTAGGTATGTGGGTAGGTGAAGGTGAGTGACTACTTTCTTCACATTTCTCCCGTTGATGGTGATTGGTGCCTGTGATTGTGGTTCTTGTTGTTGTTGTTGGTTGATTGGCTGGGTATCTTCACCACCTCTGTCTTCTCCACGTTCACCTGAACGAAATCCCGTCTTCCTTCACTGCCTCGTCTCTTCTGCCAACTTGTTAGTTTTCACCTGTACATCTTCCAATTTGTGTGACATAACACATTCGATATAAATGATCATCATGGGTGGTGAAATGTAAATGTTCTTCTGGGGTCTTTTCATCTGTCCATCCAGTGTATGAGCATGTTGTCGCAGCCGATCACAGTTTGTTGCTTGGTCGAGTCGAGTCCAGTCGACGACAAGCATATGAGGAGTATGATTGGGGATATTAGGTGGAGAGAACCTTGTCTTACTCCTTCCTGTCTTCACTTGGAAGGTATCATCACTGATGTTTCTATTGTGTTGTGAATGTCTTGGCATGTAGCATCACCATATTAATGGTACTTACTTATAATTTCCTATTGTCAGTTAACACATATTGACTCTTCTTAGCCAAAATATTTCATAAGGAATCAACTTGGATTAGTTTTGAAACAAAAGATTTAAAACTTCACTGTTAGTAAATCTGCTTTCGCTGACTTCACCCTCTTCAGCTGTACAATCGCATTTAAATATTTATTTATAGTGTACAAGAAGTTTGCTAAGATATTCATAGGAAAACATAAGCCATGACAAACTGTTTGGTTGTGGCCAGCAGAAGAATCCAGGACACGCGTTTTGTCCCATTTACGACTTGTCAGCTGGATGTACCTGCACCCCGGTGTTGTTCCCACTGTGACTCGAACCCCGTAGCCACCGCTTCAAACGTCAAGGCGTCATCCCACTATGCTACGCAGGAACGATAGGCACTTCTTGTGCAATGGGTAGTAGTTATTACTATTTATTAACACCCTTGTTATTCTCCGTTGTTTGTTTTTGTTGGATAGAATTGTTCGACCTCGATATAGTGGATAACGCCTTGGCGTTTGAAGCGATGACTATGAGGTTCGAGTCCCAGTGGGAACAACATCACTCACTGGGAAGTAGGTACATCCAGCTGGCGAGTCCCAAATAGGACGAAACGCGTATCCTTAAAATTCTTCTACTAGCCACAACCAACCAATTTATCATAATTAACATTCATCAGGCAATATTGAGGTATCCGCATAGGAGCCCATATGCCAATAGAGGTTGAACAATTCTATCCAACAAAAAAAACAACGCAGAATAACAAGGATATCAATAAATAGTGAAAAGATAATCCCTTAAATCTTTTCATAACCAATCATATTGCTTCGAAACTGGTTGATATTGAGGTAGTGGAGTCTATTTGTCTAACTCCACAGAAGTAGATGAACTGACAGATTTACACTGAAACGGTTAAGAGTAATAGTTTATCCTTCGTATACATGTTTACCGATGATCGATTCGTATAGATAGTTTGCTGATTGGCTGGATAGAATGTTCTTTCGACAGTCTTCTGCTTTTAAGTATGCCAAGTTCAACTTGACTTTGAGGATAGATAGTTATAAAAAGCATTTGAGAATGGATGACATTGGCTAGAGAAACATTAGAAACTAGAGAGCATTGGAAAGCTGTTTCGTCTTCTTAGTATGGGACTCCTCAGCAGCTTGTCCCACTTAAACCTTTCAAGGATTGAACCCAGGACCCTTAGTTTCAACTGCCAGCCACTGGATAGGAATCTAGTGATCCATATTTCCAACTTCTGTCAGTTCATGACATCTTCGACCTAGCTGGCTCCACAAGTTTCCATAGTGAATGGACGCTTTGTTTGTGAACCAACAGTAATTAGGGGAAAATAGATTGTTAATTGGTTGGAGGCAATCTCTACGAATCCCAGCTTGACCTAGGTTTCACACCTTAAGGGAACTGAAGTCCGTTTTGTGATTCAAGCTGACATCATCCACTGTTGTAATCAGTGACCTTATCATTTAGATATTCAGGCACAACGTTGACCTCCTGTAGTACTGGGTTACATACATCGATCACTCACTTGGGATTAACCAATTTCATGTCGTGTAGGTTATCTTATTCCAAACCAGTTGCCTAATGGATATAGTGAACCCTATGGAACTAAACAGTCTTGGCGTAGACGGTGAAAAAGGTAAGTTTTTCATATATCCGGAACTGGTGCTGAGCCATTCCTACTGCTGTATGTATTAGATGTTGATTCTGAAATGATAGAGAATATTTGAAGCTCAGGTGGATGGTCTTAGTTGTATTGTGTTCTCTGAGCTGGGTTATTTAATCGTGAAGACGCTTTCATCGTCTTGCTGGACATCATCAACACTAACTTCAGTATGAAGTGAGCTGTCAATCTCTCTCCGTCAGTGAT